ATCTTCGAAGGTCTTAGTTACGATCCGCAAGGCCGTTTCCACAAATACGGATACTTTATACCCAGACAAAAATGTGCTTCAGGTGCCCGCGTGTAATTTTGCCGTCCGTAGGTCGTTGAAAACATGCAAAGTTGTTGGTCGTGCGAAGAGCATTCGGCAAAATTGATACCAACGTCCTCAGTTTTCGGCCAAAAATCGTCATACTACTCTATTGTACTTAGCTTTAAATTGTGTCGCATACTATCTTCTAGACGCCCTTTATTCATATTTCTTACTTGAGGGAATATTTTGTGCGTTGTGGACGTGAATTTCGACGCATACTGTAGCTTCTGCCAGTTCGTCCAGGAACACATGATTTTTTAGGGAGTCTTACGCGTGCATCATCACTAATTCTATTCCTTTTCGATGCACTTTCCTCTTTTCGTCTACCCCGTCCACTTTAGGCCTTGAATGTTCTTTCTGCGGAGGATGAGACTTCCACCGGCCAATCGCAGGCCAGGTCCAACCTACTCAAATCTCTTAAGCTCGATCCCAACCTAAGTGATGCCTGGTGCGAGCTGGCCGAAGTCAGTTGGATGGAAGGGGACCCGGAGAGCGCCATTGGGCCCTTGAGGTCGGCTCTTAAGCATGATGTGAGTCCACCCCTGATTTATCTGTTTTTTTTCAGCGTTGAATATAAAAGACTGCCTAGAACACGGGCAACGTATTTCCCGACTGATTTATTTTACTGGCGAAGAGAAGGGAAGCTGAAATGGCCATTCCTGACTTCTCTGCCGTCATCCGCCAATCATATCTCAACGTCGGCCTGCGAAGAGCTGAGATTTTGGCCCATGTCAGTTGACCACTGGGTGTTTGAGTCAAATGTCCCGGTTAAGCCAGCGTCCGACGACCTGTGGGCTACAATCGGAAATATTCAAGCTCACATGGAAGCGGCTTTTAGTGATGATATGCGTGGGATTTGGTTTTACCTGGAAGTCCTATTGGCTACCGACCGCAGAGTGGAGACCGAATTGGAAATGGGATCACCCCTATTCTCTCCTGCAGTGCGATTAGATCGATGAGCGCGATTCTCGTATTAATTTGGTTTGTCTTCTCATTGTTGCGTCTTCAACATCTGAGATGCGGGGACACCGTCTTTCGAATTGTTTCCAGCGGTTTAACTACCTGCAGGACAAACTTATGCGGCCCCTTGTGTGTACACTTTCAGTTGATTATTAGGACTGTTGGGTTGAGCTAATTGGATCTGCATATTGACACTTATGTGGTCAAATCCACTCTCCGCGAAGAATCAAACCGAGTGAGCCGCATTTATAGAACGATCTTGTCAGAACGGTGTCGCTTTGCATGCAAGGTCTCCCCAGCACTGCAGCTTTTACCTTCAGAAGTCGGACAAGACTCCCGTCGGTCTGATTCCCTAGTCCTCGCACTCATCCTCACGGTCCTATGTTTGTGGTGATTTTCCACAGGCAAAACAAAGTATTGCCACCTGTCTGTGTCCAACCCCTTGTTTGTTGTTTCTAATGCGTTTTGGATGAGACCTCCAAAAGTTTTTCTCTGCTAATCAGATAAAATAGTGTTATTCAAGTTAGGCTAGTCTAGCATTTCATGCACAAATCCGCTAACTTTGACGCTGACAAATGGTTCAGGGCCAATGAAATGCCTACATTACTCTTGCTTTTGTCTACTCCGTGCTTCGCCTCTAATCAGGATCAAAAGCCAGTCTAACAAAATCGCTCTTTGCCTGCACCGTTTATTCGCCTGCCGTAATGGGCAACGATCATTATTGTCAGACTGTGTTTGAGTGAGGAGTGGCGTGGTTCGATGGTAGGCCGCTCAGCGTGTTTGAAATTGCCCGATACCCCCAATCCAGGCGTGTCGCTGTTGGGCAGTCAGTCATCGCTGGCCATGACACAGCTTGTGTTTAGGTAAGTTTCGCAACTGCAACGTCGACCTCCAAATTCACCGTACTTCACGTTAAGACTGCAGAAGTAATCGGGCTGACGTGGTTTGACCGTCGAGCTCTGTGAGTTGGCGTTGGATGACTTCTATGGGGTAAGATTCCTATGAGCCGTCATATCTGTCTTGGCCCAAAGGGCAGTCATTTGTTTAAAGGTGAACATTGAGTTATCCTAGCCTAGACAGTACGTCTGGTGTGAGCGAGGTTGGTTGACGTTAGCGCCGTCCCAGGAATCAGCATCCAAGTAATTGATGCATTGTGTGCGATCGTTGGATCTATGCTAAGTCGAAATCCGGCATGTTACTCACAAGCCCCCAACAGGCAGTCAACAGTATCCGTACGTTGAAGAATTTAACATTCTGATAGCTCAGTGTGAGGCCCACTTATGAGCCCAACCTTTCACAGCTGCATCGCGCGCCGACGCAAAATCGCCAAAACATGCGTCTGGGCTTTCTGTTAGTACTTCTTTCACCAACCTGTTTGTTGGCAGCTTCTAGACATAGTGGGCGTTTATTCTGCAGAAAGTGATGGATTTTAGATCAGACATTCATGTCAACTTTTGGACCGCATCAGAAAGCATTTGTCCCAAGGGACTTGCTGTAAGTTAGCGAATTAATTTCTAGAGGAATAAAAAACCGCATCATTAAAAACTGAGGTATGTACTAGAAAGCACATGGGAAGCATCTACTCCAAGTTCGTGCATTAATTTCCTCGGAAATTAAACAAGACAGAGTGGAGCTGGAGTTCATATACCAGAAAACACACGGGGAAGGCTGGGAGACCCACTGATGAGCCGAACCCCCACGCCGCTGCGTCATGCAGCGGCACAGGACCGGCGAAACACGCATGTCTGGGCTTTTAGCTAGTATTTGCGTTGTCAGTACGGGGCATCATCCAACATTTGCTAAATCTACATTAGTAGTGAGGACATGAGTAAAGGAATTGGACACTGATAGTTTTATTTATCTTTGTAAGCTTCCTTTTGGCCACAAGACCCGAAGCGTCGCCTCAACGGGCATTCTCTCGTGGAATATCATGGGAGAGACGCTAATAGAATGAGTCTCATTAAACTTAAATCCATGTTTGTCGTTAGCTTTGACGACTGCGAATTTACTGTTCTCGACCCCTCAACATGCAACCAAAA